TGCTGAGTGTAAGGTTGACCCATCAAAATCTCAAGTGCTATATACGGCAGAACTCCACAAATTTTTCCTTACTTTACTTTTTTAGAAAGACCAAGATCAGTGATATTTGCATTATTCAAATCGTCTTGCAAAATGTTTCCACTCTGTAAATCTCTGTGAACGAGTTTCTGAGAACAAATAGACTCAAGATCCAATGCTATATAGTACAGAATATTCAATTTATCTTTCCATTCTAATTGTGATACGAACCATTTGTCATAATATCTATAACAATAATATAATCACCATGATCAATTTTTGATACACCCAAACAATTTAAGAACGAAGGATTTTCGTAACCAATTTCGCAGTGATTTTTCAATTCTTGGATAAATTCTTGCAAATTCTTGTTTGAATCACGAATAACTTTAAGTTCAACAACTATCCATGCACTATTAATTCTATCGAACCAACGTGCCTCATATACAGATGTGAATCCTCCTTTTCTCAGTTCCTCGATAATTGTGAACTCATTAAAATCAATTCAAGATAATTTAAATCTTTCATCATCTAATATTATCTTAAGTTCAGGGTTGATATTATCTGGTGATCTATTTGTTTTTCAAATTATTTCTATATTTCTGAACCAATAATTTGCTTTCTGAATATCTTTATTTGTACCAGCACCGTTTCGATAATACCCATATTAGCAGATTTTTCATAGTATTCATATGCTTTATTATAATCTTGATCAACTCCAATTCCATTGTAATAACTAATACCAACACTACATATTGCTTCAGCATTACCAAAATCAGCAGACTTCTTACAATATTCAAATGATTTCTCATAATCTATTTCTATTCAAGTTCCATATTTATAACAAGACTAATATCATTCATAGCACCCAAATCTCCTAATTCAGCTGCTTTCATATAATATTTAAAAGCTTTCTTTTCATCTTTCTCAACACCAATACCGAATTCATAGTTATGGCCAAGCATGCGAAGTTGCTCAGAGTCCATTTTTTAATGAAGAAAAAAAACCATTCGCTACTTAGGGGTTGAACATATATCATCTTACGTTACACGTAGATATATAGTCTAAGGGTGTTCTCAAGCACCTACCTTAATGGTCTCAATAACAAATCTGATTTGTCAATTTAATCAAACTAACCAACCAGATTTTTTATTGAATTCATTGAGGTGGGTGCTTGAGAATGCCCTAATTAGATAATTTAAATTAGCTAATCATATTGGATCTTATGTGGGGGCTCTTATAGTGAATGGATATTACGTAATATATGTCACAGCTAATGATGCTTGACGAAACTATTTTCGCAGTTTTGTCAATAGTTTCATCAGACGAAACCTTGACGATTGACGAAACTACTGACGATTGACGAAACTACTGACGATTGATGAAACTCCTGATGATTAATGAAACTACTGACTATTGATGATTGACGAAACTCCTAACGAAATTAATTTGGGCAATAAAATAGAAAAGTAGAGCCGTCCTTCTTTTGATGAGCTTTTTTATAATGACCTCCAGATACTCTGAATCTTAAAATTTTCAAAATTACTGTTATTTCATCATTATATCATATGAAAATATAGTGCCTATTTTGACATGTAATGTAAGCCATCATCATAATGCCAGGGAGTGTATTGTCGGGCAGAATTAAGGATACTGATGCAAAAGTCTTGAAAATTCCAAAAAGAAAATGTATGAACATAAAAGAAGAGCAAGATCGGGCAAAAATTTGAGAACGTATCCAATATTTTTCAAAGGGAAAATATAAATTTCAAAAATTATATCATGCGATATCATGCGCATGTTATCATAAAATGTGCATTCCCCCATTACTAGTAAACATCGACATCAGCATCAATCGTCACAAATATTACACCACAAAAGTTAAGCCATACAGTATTAATTTCTAGCTACCATAATTTCCATCGAAAACTACTAGAAACATCCAGATAATTAATGCAAATCATCTGGAAATGTAAGATTCAAATAGAGTATAATATTGAACATCAAAATTTCACATAATTTCTAAAATAAAATCAAAATTTCATTTTTCTTATATATTTACTACACTTAATGCTATATTATATATAAAGTTCATGATTCATTATGCATTTTGTCATTTGTCATTCATCATGAGTTTCGTCATTTGTTATGAGTTTTGTCATTCATCATGAGTTTCGTCATTCATCATGAGTTTTGTCATTCGTCACGAGTTTCATCATTCGTCATTCATTAATTCAAAGTTACCTGACGAAATGGTTTCGTCATTTGTCTAGACGAAACTATTTTGTCATTCGTCTAGACGAAACTATTTTGTCATTCGTCAAGCATCATTAGTCCCAATACAAACTAATTCAACCCTAACTAAATACTACATTGTGTTACTAGAATAACAAGTTTTGTACAGAATTTTTTGTGATACAAATTATGAAAATTCCAATACAACTAACTCAACCTTAGCCAATGCATTTTACATTAGTGTCGCGGTGTTTCTTAATACCCCTTGTAATAGTAGGATAGTGGTATCCATGTGACTATCGATCAGGTACATGTCGATCGAACATTGTGATTGATCCTGATTTAATTAAAAGTCTAAAAATAGAATTGCATGAACAATGTAGTAATTAGCAATTAGAATAGTATTGACTGCTTGAATAATGTGTATTTAGTGATTAGTAATGAAATTGATTGCATAAACAATGTAATAATCAATAGAAAAAGTAATAATATATAAGGCTTTGATCCGAATAAGGAAGAAGCCTGGCTTTCGCTCTCATAATTAGCTTTGATTCTTTGTGAATTAGCTTTTGGTAGCTTAGCTTTGAGTTTAGTTTTCTTCATGAATAAACTTTCATTCTTAGTGAATAAACAGTTGCATCTGTGTGGATAAATACATTATAATCGGTGGTAGTATCTGGTACAATACTCCAGTCATCATATAGAAGCCAAGCAAGTAAAGACTGATAGAAAAGTTAAAGAAGTATACGTATAATTGCTAAACTACATGACAATTAGTAAGCATGTAATTTTTAACAATAACTCATAAAGACTTTGACTGCATACTGTGTTTCATTAGAATAGTGAGTAAGTTTTGCAATTTTTTACTGTCATTCATGATAATTACAATGCAAACAAACTTAATCTTAACCATGTACTGAGATTACCAGAATAGAAATGTTCTGCAATAGGATGCCTATGGTAATAACTCAACCTTAACTGCATATTATGTGTACTGGAATAGCAAGTAGGTCTTGGAAATAGAATTTCTTCCAGTAATACCAATGCAAACTAATGCAACTTTAACTACATACTACAATCTCTAATATAGTGAGTAAGATCAATAACAATTTTTTACATTAGATCATGGTAGAAATCTCAATGTATACAGTTGGCATAAAAATAGTAAGTAAATTCTGTAAAGCAGAGGTCTTTTTTGTTTCTATCAGCCATTCTACCTTAATTTAGTGCATCGGAATGCATCAAATGTAGCCTGGATTTGCAAGAGAAGAGCATCTTCCTGCTTTGCGAACACAAAGTAAAATTTATAGTTATGTTCTATAATTGGAAATTTTATTTTGTATTTGAAATACAGGAAGATACTCTCCTTAAGCAAATCCGGTCTACAATCGATGCATCCCCCAAAGCATTAAACAAGGCAGGGAAACTGTTAAAAATTGAAAAAGACCTTTGCTGTTCTGTAACGCTTACTCAAAATTTAATACAAGCTTAATTAAGTTTTGTAATAAATTTTTTTACAGTAACTCTAAATAGAAATTACAAATCATGTACCACTGAAATAGCAGGTTTTGTTATTGCAATTTTAATTCACTAACCCAACCTTAACCACATACCTAGAGGTCGGATCCATGAATATTCATGGTTGGAAATAGATATTCATTGAATATTCAATATTCAGTTACACAAAATTCATAGATAGTCAAGGGTTTGTTATGATATAATTGATTCGTTTATATTCATGAATATTTGCGCATGAATATTCATGGTTACAATAATAATGATATTCATTCAAAATCTGGAAATTCATTCAATGTTATTCATAAACATTAAAACCCACGAATATTTATTGAATAGCCATGATGGATATTCAAAGGATCCAACCTATACACATACCCTATAAAAAAAAATTAAAAATTCATATTCAGATTTTGTTCAGATTATTATTTTTAAAAATGGGATTTTTCGTAATAAGAACCTATATAAAATCCTTTAAATTTCTGAATATAATTTTTTTTTTCGGCATAAAATTATAACAAGAATATCGGAAATATTCAGAAAATTTAAAAATTAAAAGGGTTTTATATTACGAAAAATGCTTATTTTTAAAAATAATAATTTGAACAAAATCTGAATATGATTTTAATTTTTTTCTATAGGGAAACTGTATGACACTGAAATGAGTAAATTTTTTACCAGAATTTTTACAAGAATTCACAATAGAGATCGCGATAATTTTAATGCTAATTCAAATGCACCTAGTGCGAAATTTTTTATCCAGCATATATAAAATTATTTTCTCTAATTGTAAGATATTTTATTAACCAATGTAATTGACTTATTTAATTAAAGTTTTTTTTCTAAGCGCAGGATATTTTTTTTTAACTTATAAACTTGCATTTAGAGAGAATTAATTATATATTAATTTAGTTTCTTTAATTGCAAGTTCTCTCTAAATGCAAGATATTTTGCTGGCCTGTTGACTTGCACCTAGAGAGAGTTGACTGTATTCAATATTACAACAAATTCGACAAATGCGATAAATTGCACTTGACCTCGTGATCACGGTCGTACTAAGTTGCAGTAGGTGGTTCGGATTTCGGGGCTCACAATATCGTACATACTGTATTGTCAATTTTGTGTAACAAATCCCGGTGCTTATAATTTTCCAAATCAAGCGCGCATATAATTTTACGCCTACTGTAGGTTTAAAATCATTACTTAACTATCAAATTATTATTTTAATAATAATGGATAAAATATTTGCACCGGAATATTTTGATAGAATTTTCAGATTTCTTCCGACTAATAAAGATTTGCATTCTTGTCTCTTAGTTAATAAACATTGGGCAACTTGTGCCGTTCCAATTTTATGGGAAGCACCCTTCAGAATTGATGACAAGCATATTCCGTCTCATAAAGTGATCCGAACTTATCTTGCATTTATACCGGATAGTACTTTTCGCAAATTGGGATATAATAGAATTGGATTGTCGAATAGTAGACCTCTTTTTTTTAACTATCCATATTTTCTTAAAGAACTCACATACGATCAATTTCTTAATGCAGCTATATCAAACAATTGCAGTGAAGATATCATAATTGAATTATTCAAATTACTTGCTAAAAATAATGTAAAATTACGCCGATTAGAAATCTACAACTGCCTTAATAATTATCCTGAAAACCTTGGATATTTGGTTCTTCTACATTTTTATGAATGCACTTCTGTATATAGTAGGTTAACATATTTTAATTGTAGCTATCAATTGCCAATGCAAAAAACACAACTTTTTAATGCAATAGCGAAGTACTGTCATAATATTAAAATCCTTAAAGTCAGTATTTATGATAAAAATGAAGGAATAGCTTTAGAAGGTCTTATTCGTTCTCAAAGGAACCTAAAAAAGTTTACTCTGATAAACAGTAATAATTTTGCATCGTTTCCTATCCAAGCTCTTATGAATCAAATACACTCACTTGACAGTTTAGCATTTGAAGACATGCACTGCAACCATGGTTTAAGTAAGACAAAATTTTTTAATTATGGTATTTGTCAATTAAATAGCAGTGCTATCGATGTATTGGCCCAATGTACAAAAATCAACAAGGTGAAGTTTAAACATTGTGAAGGGCTCAATTCTTCTTTATTTCTTCCTCTTGCTATTGCTTTTCCGAACTTAACATCGTTAGAATATACTTATGGTACTTATAACATTTGTGATAGCACAACTCCTTTTAGATTATTATCTGGCCTCATTGTGACAAGTTGCAATACACTTAAAAGAATTATACTTGACTGACATTCAAAAGCTCATCTCGATATTACTCAGCTTGTTGAAATTATTGCACAGCAAGTAATAAATCTCGAATATTTAAAAATTCCACTCCATACATTAGAACAGCTTTCACTAATTCACAGAACCCATAATCAATTAAGGAAACTTGAAATTAATATTAATAAAAGAATAAATCCATATTTTGTACTTTTCTTTTTGCTAATGTTCCACTCAGAAGTCTTGAGTATTCAATTCACCTTAACTTTGACTATGATGAAAATTCTAAAATAGAATTCAATCTACTAAATCAGATCCTTGATTCTATTTTCTACAAAAATAATCGGATTGTTGATTTTATTTTATATCTAAGTAATGATTAAAATTCTTTTATTGAAAGAGAAGAGAAGCTTTTAAGAAAGTATCCAAGGCTTAGAATCAATAACTCTTATCCCTTTTATAACTTGAATAGGTTTGGATTCGTTGCAAAATTAAATTCTGAAACATGCAGTAATGAATTACTTAAAATTTTCGATAATTTATTAGAAATAAGTTCAGATGATACATGGGCATTAAAGCAACGTGGAGTAGCATATTTTAATATGAAAAAATACATAGAATCGCTTAAAAATTTGAGCAAATCTTTAGAAATTGAACAAAACGATGCTCATGCATTACGATTACGTGGAGAAACCTATCATTTTATGGGAAAATATGAAAAATCATTAATTGACTTAAACAAATCACTAGAGATTGAACCAAACAATGCATGGACATTAAAGTTTCGTGGAATTACATATTCTATGATTAATAGATATGAGGAATCACTTAATGATTTAAATAGATCTTCAAAAATTATACCTAATTACACATTTGCATTGGAAAAACGCGATGAAATTTATTGTAAAATGAAAGGATATGATATATCATTCATGGACTTGCTTATAAATTAAAATCTCAAAATAGAATCAAATAATGCACTTGTACATGAATCACTCATAAAATTAAATAAAATCCTCAAAATAGAACCAGATAATGGATTTGCATTAAAAAATAGGGGCACGATTTATATGGCAATGAAAAAGTATGATGAATCACTTAAAGACTTAAATAAATCTCTCAAAATAGATCCTGGCGATGAATATCTTCTAAAAAATCGTGGAATAATTTATAGTGAAATGAAAAAATATAATGAATCACTTGCAGACCTGAATAAATATCTTGAAATAGAACCAAAAGATGCATCTGCATTAAAACATCGTGGTGCAATTTATAGAATAATGAAAAGGTATAAAAAATCACTTGCAGATTTAAATAAATCTCTCAAATTAGATCCAAATGATGCATTTGCATTAAAACATCGTGGTGCAACTTATCTTAAGATAAAGAAAATAAAGGAAGAAAATTTAGGCTATAATCAATATTGTAATTTTAATAATTATAAATATGAAGAATCGCTTGCAGATTTAAATAAATCATTAGAAATTGAACCAAATGATGCATTTGCGTTAAGATACCGTGGAATAAATTATCGTATGACTAAGAAATATAGGAAGTCACTTAATGACTTAAATAGTTTGTTAAGAATTGAATCGAATGATGCATTAACTTTACAACAACGCGGTGTAACTTATTATTATATGAAATTATACAATAAATCGCTTGAAGACTTAAACAAGTCATTAGAAATTGATTCAAATAATGCAGAAACCTTAGGAAATCGTGGGAGGACTTTTTATATGATGGGGAATTATAAAAAATCACTCAAAGATTCAAATGAATCATTAAGAATTGAACCAACTAATGCAATTGCGTTAGGAAATCGTGGCGCAATCTATAGGATGATGGGAAAATATATTGACTCTCTTGCATATTTAAATAAATCCCTCAAAATAGATCCAAATAATGAATTTGCGTTAAAAAATCGTGGCACTACTTATTATATGATTAGTAAATTATCGAATTCATGCGAAGATTTAAAAAAGTCATTAGCTATCGATCCAGAAGATTCATTAGTCTTAGGATACCTTGAAGCAATTTACTGTAAATTCGGAGATTATAATAATTTGCTTTTTTACTCTGAAGACGAATGTTGTAATAATAATTTAATTTACTGTAAACACAAATATTATAAATTGTCACTTGAATATTTAAATAGATCGCTAAAAATTGATCCAAAGAATGCATTTGCATTGCGACAGCGCGGGATAACTTATTTTTATATGAAAGAATATGATAAATCACTAACAGATCTAGATAATTCTTTAATAATAGAAAATAAATATCCACATACAAGTACTTTGAACTTAATCTAGAGAGCCTAGATGCTTGCAATATCTAAGAAGTTAGAAATAATATTTAATTATGTTATGAGTATATTTAAATAAAGTATTATTTTTTTTATATAACCTTTAGAACCTATATAAAAACAAGATTATATATATAATCGAACCATATTATTGTCCAAAATTATTTTTCTTTCTTCAGGTCTAAGGTTTTATTTTTCTCGTTCCTTTAAGTATCTAATTAATATTTATTGTCTTTTAAATTATTTTAATTAGTTTATAATTTGGAAATAACTTAATTTAATAGAGTTGAATAAATAAATAATGATAAAAAAAATAGTATTTAATAACGACAAACCGATAGGCCTTATATATTGCATATAAACTAGTGTTGTGAAAAATTATTTTTGTCAAGTAAACAACTTATGAAATAATATCTGAAAAAAGCTAATTCAAACATATGCTAAAAAATAAATTTCTATATAAATTGATTAAAAATAAATACCATGTCCGAAAAAACATCAAGATATGGTGATCCAGGCTAGTGCTCGGCAACAATCAAGCAAAAATTTGACCGTCAAATACTTGTGATTAAGTCGGACAATCGCAGATTAACCGATGCTACATATATAAGTACGTATGTGCATATATGTACAGTATAGAGTATTGATCAATCTGGAATTATTTGATATCCGACTTAATCATGATTATTTGATATCCGACTTAATCATAATTATTTGATATAATTTAATGCGTTCTCAAGCGCCTCAATTAATGGATCAAAGAATGTCAAAAATGTGTCGGGAATAGAGTTATTACCCGGGTCGAGTGACCCGTACGTGTCGAAAATTGCTATAACCCGGGTCAAACGGGTCAGAATTCAAAATATGCAAAAATCTACTAAAATGCTATATTACGCAATTTACTAATATAACTATATGGGTAGAAGGCATTATAATTTACTAAATAATAAAGCTC